CCGTACCAGACCAGGGAGCTTCCTAGTGATGTCTCTGACCCGGGCCCCAGGGAGGCAGCAGACTTCCCTGTGGGATGGGTCCGGTCGGCATATTGGGCCCTCTGTTCCCCTCAGAAGGGAATCGCCTATGACAATTACCCTCCTTTTTTTCTTAGCAGAACAAACTGTGCCCAGATGTACCAGGTCCCATTTCTTACCAACTTTGTCTCTTGGAAAGCAGCCACAGCTTACTATCATAGGCATGAAGGAACAGTATTAGATTGGCCTGACAGAACCAGAGCTGGCATGCTGCTTTTGGCTCTCATCAGATCTTAGGTAAAACCCTCCAAGAAAACCCAGGAACTAGAGCTAGCTTGACCTAGAGGAGAAGAGAGTTCTGTTTTCTGCCTTTGGGTCACAGAGTGACTTGCGGAGTGACTTGCTGACACTGCTTTGCTTCAGCCTTCTTTCCTACCCTTCTGTAAATAATATTTTGTGCTTTTACATCTGAAGCCCTCTAAGGCAGGCCTTTTTTCTTGCTGTATGTTATGGGACGGAATGGTATGTACCATGACTGGATCCTGATCTTGAGCAGTTTTTTTTCAGTGCCATTGCACTGCAACTATACCACTAACAGCTTAACATCTACACATATATGCCAATACTGAGGTTATTATACATTCCTTGTTAAATATTTGCACTGCGCCAATAACCCATACCAGTTTAGTTCAGATAGAAGTGTCTGTGCAACCCAATCATTCCCGTACTACCATTTACTTAATTTTTATCTGCACATTGACAGAGACATCCTTAAATCATTTGCACCATATTTGCTGCTTGCAATGTGATTTATTCTTCGTGAAGAGCTGCAGAAAGAACCCTCTGTAAACAGCAGTAATAAAATTATTTTGCTCATATTCTTGCTACAAAGAGAACCCTCCAGCAGAAACTAAGATGCTATCTGGGCACCAAACCATGCTTCAGCCACATCAGATAAGAAGGGCAGAATACACCTTCACACACACACAGATGTTTCTTTCTTTCAGGGCAGATAGGGGTAAAATTTAACTGAGACTCAAAGCCTTTCCTCTTTTACCTTGAAGGTGGTGGGATTTTTTAAGCAGGCTTTGAAGGGAGGTAAATTGGGTCTTTCAGGCACTTAGTTTTCAATTCTGTAAACATACACGTGAGTAATTTAATGCAATTTTGCTTATATGGATACAGTTAAATACAGACATTACGGGATCAAGACCACAGCTGGAACTTTTAAATAGAAAGAGCTGGTGTACCATTGGTCTAGACTTAGAGCAAAGGCACTTCCTGGCAAAGGTAGTGAAAAATAACTGAAACAGATAAAAGCAAACAGAAAGAACACTTCTGTTGTGTTGCTATAATCCAGAAGGAATCATCTTTAAATTGTTTAAGTTAGCATTATATTTTTAAATTCTGAAGCAAAGAGCTGCAAAAATATACATTGCTTCAAACAGTCAAATCTTGTGTTTGAAAAACATTGCCTAATGTGTCAGACTCTTCTGTGTCAATATAATACAATATAATACATAGGTCTGAGTATCAGCCCAGTCTTGTAACTCTCTGAGCAACTAAAATAAAGAGGAAAAAAAAAAGGAAAACTCAAAATGTAATGTCCTTATCTTTGCTGAACAATTTTGAATGACTAGTACCAACATGCACCCGATATAAGGAATTGTAGTTCCAAAGGTCAGCTGCTTCAGTTCAACTTGCTGGCCAATAAAGATAGGATGTGAGGATTCAAATTGCACTTCTAGGCTACTTAATTAACTATCTACCATCAGATTAATCCTCTTGACTCATTGTTGCTCCAGCCTAACGCTGCACATGCTTGTGTAAATACGATGCAAGGACTTTTTGCAGGCACACCTCAGAGCCGATCTTGTTGCAGATGCCGGTATTTTCTATGATTTCACTCCTGATGATTGTGGGAGAATCTGCCCTCCCAGGGCACCCTTGAGAATTCAGAAAGGCACCAAACCAGTGGCAGAATTAAATTGCTCTTGGCTGAAATTACAGAGCAATAAAGCTTGTGCTTGAGGGCTGTGCTTCCCTTAATGAGATCATCCCACTGAGGTCAAGGCACAAATACACTCTAATGTTGGTGTGTGAACCCCATTCTTGCTGGAGCTCCATGCACTTCTGTCTCAGGATGGACCTCAAGATTAGAATAAATTTTAACTCAAGCGAATTATGCAGTAAGGAAAAGCTCTAGATCTCCACTAACTTTGTGCTAAAGCTGTAAGTCAGTGCCCCACAAGGATGTTGCTAGTCAATTAGTTTACTTCGATTATCAGGCAATAAACTAATTCCCTGGGAATGAAAGTCAAGTAACTCCATACATCTAGTACAGACCACCTGAGTTTTCAAGACTAATGAACAGATTAGCTACAAACTTAAGAGTCTATTGATAGACTCTTCCTGGTAGAAACACGAGTGTGTAGAGATTAGAGTACCTAATGGTAAATTATCAAATGGCAAATACCTTTTAGTACTTTCAGCATCAATGTTTGTGACATTTATTGAAAATATCTTTTCCTTCTCCCAAAACTTTCCTCTGTATGATGTTCTATCAGATTTTTTTTCTTACATGTTGCATAGCATGATGATTTTGCAAAAGATGCCTCCAGTTTAGGAGTCTTCAGGTATTTCTGTTGAGGCATTGATGTCTAGAATCATAAAATATGTCAGTTCTAACATGTTTTGCTTAAATCCTCTTTTTGTTTACCAACTTTATAGGATGCTCTAGTGGCTTTGGTGCCTGAACAGGATGTAGCAGTGTTAGTTAATCTTTGAGAATCTGGGGCGCAGAGTTTCTTCACCCTGGGACTTTTTATTCTGGGCTAGTGATATGCCTGCACTCCAGCAGCTGCAAACCTGCTGTGAAGGAGGTGAAGCGAGGGCTAGTGCTCTCTGCCAGATTCCTCTGGGTGTGTGAGCATCAGTCTGCCAGTTTCCAGTGGTGCTGCTGCAGGCCTTGGGTCATATCCCAAATCTGAAAGACAAAAATTAGACTCAACTTTCAAAAACATGGGCTGATTTGATGTCTCCAGATCCAGCTTCATGTTTTAGCAAACTTTAATTAGCTTGCCTTTTCCTGTTGTGATGAAATAACACTCCCTGTTTTGACAGTCTCTGGCTTTGTGGAATGGAAAGTCAAAATAAACAAGGAAGACCACACTGAACATGCTAATACACAACCTCAAATGTTTCCTTAATTCCTAGGCCTTAAGCTAGACAGCTTATCCAAACATTTCCTCCTGTTGACTCCTTCTGTCCCCCACGACATCCTGGGTTAATAGATTTTAGATAGGAACTTCTAATACACATAATCCAGATTGAAAGCAGAGTTTCATTAGCACAAACTCCCCTATCATAATTGTAATCTACAGTAAATGAATGCAATTAGCCACACCAGGGTCTCCCCTGAGCCCTCCCCTCCTCTGCACACAGACAGCAGCCATAAGCTGACACCAGGCTCTTGTATAAAGCTAGCACACTACGTTCACTGCAATAGCAGCAGGTCTACAGGGTTGCACTTTACAGGATCATGTCACTGCTGCTTCTTCAGCTGTTAGTGCTCTCATGTTTTGGAGCCACAGAGCCACAGGGAGATTCACCGCAACGGAAAAGCAGAAGGCCATTTCAGCACCTTTTCTATCTGGACAAAAATCTGCCTGACAGTCAGAGTTTCCGTGCACTGGTGGGGGAAAACCCAGTAGGTGTTGAGGAAACCCTGGGAGAACCAAGCTTTTTTGTAGCAATTCCACAGATGGCACCTGAAAGTGAGAAGCAAGAGGAGAAAAAAATGTCCAGATTCATCCTTCCCAATGCAGAACTCCATGCAGACCAAGATCTGAGAACCTGGGCAGCACCCAGAGAGATCTCTCCTGTGGAAAACTTCTCTCCATCCCACTCTTCCAGCAAGAGGGAGGCTGAACCTCCCTATAGAAAAGATGCCAAGAAATTTTGGGACCACTTCATGTTAAAGAAAAATTCAGCATCTGAAGAGGTTGTCCTGCCAATCAAGACCAATGAAATGCACCAAGAAAACTGCAGAACCCTGCCTTTTTCCCAGGTAAGAACAGGTGTCCAAGACCAATAAACATGTCCTTTCCGCTGCCTCATGTAATCAGCACCTAAAGACACATGGGTTAGTTCATTTACTAAGTCACAGGGCCACTTCAGAACGCTCACACACGGTAAGCTGCTGAAAAACACCGCTGAAAAAGGCTGAAAAAGCTTTAGTCTGATGAGGCAAACTGCTAAATTGCAGCACTGGAAAGCCACACATTCAATTTTCAGAGAGTTATTTATTCTTTTTATGCAAAGATGTTCTGACCTAGCCTGAGCAGGCAGGGCAGTGGTGAGTAATTACCTATTCAATGAATATACATCTAAACAGTTTGTATACATGAATTACCTAGATATATATATGTATATACATATACACATATGCATATATACCAAAAGAGTCCCGGGGCAAGTATTTACAGGAGAAGCTTGTTGTTTTCTTACAGCTAAGCAAGGATTCCTTTCTGCTATATTAATCGGAAGACTGATGCATATATCTAATTCTGTGCTAAGAGTGCTGGAGAACTGGTAAATTGTCCCATGCACAGATGAAGCCATTCTGTCATATTGTAACATCAAGACAAGCAAATAGTATAGCTAAAAGTGCTATATTCCTCATAAGGCAACATCTATTCTCAGTGTTTCTATAATCAGTCCATCAAGGACCACGTTTTTTCACATCCCTCACTAAATTTATTTCACTGGCAGACATATGTAACTATAAATGTGGTCTAGAAACTTGTACCATTTTACTTTTTGTGCCGTGTAATATGGCAAGCTTTCTCCAGGATGGCTGCAGTTATGCCAATATAAAAGTGCTAACTTCAGTCTAGCTTTTTATGGCTTGGGAGTTGACATAGGCTCTCCTGATACAAGAAACTGTTGTTCTTGCAAACCAAGAGATTACAGAACTTCCATTGCACTTACAAGATTTTCATTAAAAAAAAAACTGCTAAAGAACATTATGCCTCTTCTACATGGAGACAAAGCTTCAGGATTACAATTGATTCCAGCTTGTGGTTTATATACAAGAACGTTGCGCCAAAATGATGTTTTAAGTCCTGCTAAGTGGGTAAGACTGCTTAACCATGTCAGAAATGTAGAACTCAAAGAGCAACTAAAAGGTAAATATGAAAAAAACACCTATTGGATTTTCCCCTCTCAGCTCATAAAGGCTCTGATTGAAGCAGATTTTGCCTTTGTTGTTCAATCTAAGAATTGCCCATAGGAGCGCTAAAGTTTGCTTTTAAAAGCTCTTACGTTTTACCACTTGCTTGACATAAAAAATAAACATATTTAAAGTAAATGTTCTGAGAAGAAAAAATAAAGTATCTGGGGGCTTTTTTTTCCTTCATGCCTTCTAGCAAAGTCCATGGTCCATTCATGTGCCAGGAACTTCAAACTGCTTTCTGTTTCAGGGTGTTACTCATGAGAGCTGTGAGAAGGTGACGGTACAGAATAATCTGTGTTTTGGAAAATGTAGTTCCTTTCATGTTCCTGGTCCAGAAGATCGTCTTTATACCTTTTGTTCCCATTGCTTGCCCAGCAAGTTCTCCATGAAGCGCCTGGATCTCAACTGCACCAGTTCTGTCCCAGTGGTCAAAGAAGTCATGATTGTAGAAGAGTGTAAATGTGAGACTCAGAAGATTAAAGACCCTGCGATTGTGTCTCTATGGTCAGACTTGCATGCAAATGTACATGAGCACAATTAACCTGTGCAAAGTACTTCTTAATTCCTTGATCATAAGAATTTGCCAATGAAAAAACCAAAGAACTAAAGCTTTCATCACACTGGCAAACAAAAATATTAAAGATGTAGACTTTCTACTTGGACTGCTTCTCTGCTTCAACAATAACTTTACCTAAAGTGTAACAGATGTTTCCTTGCAGCTGTTAAAGAAATGGAGACGAGATTACTGGGCTTATGTGTAGAGTTCTTACTTTAACAAGGGAAAACTTTAAAAAATTTTCCACCCTTCCTATCACTGTTTATAGGATGCTAGTAAACAACAGCTGAAGAACTAGCATGATTTATCTGTGCAAAGCCCTGATGTATTGGCTGGTTTACATTGCCTTTGCTTGCAGGGACTGCCAGTATAGCTCTATTGGCAACACAGATGAGGCTTTAGTCTCTTCCTTGCAAAAACAGGTCTACTTTTACATCAAGACAGTGGCTGGAGAGTGTAAAATATAAATGGTCGTAAGGCATATAGAGAGCTGTGACTAGTTAAGGTCATTCTGATTGCTCCCAGCTGGAGTTCAGTTCCCCGTGAAAACTAATATACCTCACAATTTACACACTTAGATAGTGGTTGTGAAGGATATTTTGCCACAGAAACCACTTACTCTTCTCCTACATGCCTGCATTTGCTCTGCTTGGTTTTTTAATTGGAAATGTTACATAGTAGAAGAAGAAAAAAAAATATAAAAAATGGTATACTCCCACAGAAAACATCATAAATGAATGGATTGTTATTGTTATTATTTAAATTTACTGTGGAAAGACAATGCATGTTTTCCAGTCTGATGAATTTTAACGTTGTCAGTGACACCAAGATAAAGTTTAAGTAATGTTCTCAACACCCAAACTGAAGCAGAAAAGGCATTGGTGTGATAGAAAATCTGCAGAAGGATTTTATCGGCATGGCAATACCTGTATAGCTTTATAGGAACAGCCGAGAAAACTCTCTGTTAGGAAAGGCCTGAGTCTAGTGCCAGCCAACACAGCACCAGTGGCTGTTAGCCGAACTGCTGGCTTCTCTGCTCTCTCCAGCTGCTTCTCCCTGGATTTGTCTTGCAGGCCTGGCACACCAGACAGTGATCAGCTTCCAGCAACTCGACTTCAGCCTACGTCTAACCCAGCTCCTTCAGTCCTCTAGGAATCGGCTCCATGGCTATTACCAAACTCTCAGACCTGGGCCCCTGTTGTTAAACTATCCACAGCTCTTTTTTGGGGTATTGGAAATCAGTATTGATATAGCTGGTCAATTCAAGGGTTGTGTAAATGATTCCCTGTATTTGAACTGCACTGTGATCAGAAGTGTCTTAATATCCTGTCAAAAAATATGTTCAGCGTGGCTTTGGAGTGCAAGGCCCATGTTTAATATTTACCGAAAATTGCATCTGAATGATAATTCTGTTACTGGACCTGAACTGCTGCAATAGCTGTTTGCTTCTGCAGGTCACCTGCAGTGAGCAAACTGAAGATTAGTATATATTTTTCTTTCATTAGATATAAACCTGTTTTTAAGTAATAAAAGTTGTATACTAAAACTAAAGAAAGCCTTCTCTCTATCCTTTTACACTAAGGACTGATGTGCAAACTGTGTAAGGCTGTTTGTATGTTTTGGCATGATATATGATGTCATTCCAAGTAACAAGCTGTCAAGGTCTTATCATCCCTGTATTGAATGCAATAAAGGAAATACTTATTTTAACTTAATATTTATTCTAGCTTTATAATGCTGATCGATATTCTCAGGATGCTAGTGCAATGAACTAGCACCCAGATTCAGAAATTTACCTTCATGTGTTAGGCTGCACTGAGCATGAATGGGCTCAGGTTACGACCAAGGAAAGAAAAGCTTTTCTAATAGGCAAAGTACCACCAGCTAGCAACCGTATAGTTTCAGAGAACAAAGTAATTCTTTACAGCTCATGCTTTTTTCAGTACCAATTCCTCCTCACCGGGCATGTCCGATTGCACAGTCAGCCCTAATGACTGGTGCTTTGTTAAAGCATGCTGTATGCAAGTGGAAAAGCTAAGAAACAACTCCCTGCCTTACCAGAAGGTTCAAACCTTGGCACCTTATCAAACCTTTGTGAGTTATTGTGTGTGATTATTAGTGTTCATTTCTAATCAAAGCCGAAGGAATAAAAACACACAAAGCATCAAAGTTCCCAACTTTTTTCTCTTTATTCTCAACTTTATTTTTTAATCTGAAAAAGCTGAATCTTCTGAGGCTTCTAACCCCTGATGTTTTAAAGCTGTGTGAATATATAAGAATGTTTGTCTACATTTTCTTTTTTTCTGAAATGCAAGTATGTTTTAGGTTTGACACTTGCAGACAACCACTTGAAGGTAGGACCTACATACACTCCCAGTAAGATCACAAGTCAATTAAAAAGAAAAATCTTCCAGTAATTTTGACATGACTGACTGCTAAACTGTGACTTTTGCACATAAGGATGGCAGAACTGAAGCTGTATTGTGGACTGTAAAGTATTCAGCCTAATTTTTAAAGCTCATTCTGTGTGCTGAAGCATTATTGCAGTCAAAGAAAGCTATTCATGCAAGGAGTTCGCAGGACCAGATTCTTAGTGTGAATTTGCACAGCTTAAACGTAGGTGAAAAGAGGTAATGACAGCTGTAGTAATTGCTAATTAGATTAGTGCTGTAGGTCTGTTGGATGAATGTTTAATTAACCCAGCAATGACTGGTTGCATGTAATTAGCACAGTATTCTGCAAAATCAAGAATGTGTTAATTGGATCAGATTTCTCAGCCTTTAAAAATTCTGTGTTAGGAATAAGTTGTGCCCAGGGGCTAACAGGATTTTGTGCTCCCAGCACAACTATGATGGCCTCTACTAGTATAATGATGTGGGTCAGAAAGGTGAGGGGTGTGATCCATATCACTGTATGGATGCTTCCAGTAGTAATGCCGTTACAGCAGCAAACCTGCATGACTTCAACTAAGTTGTGTCCATTCAGAGGTTGCATGCTTTCTGTAACGAAAGCTTTTCCAGTGTAACTGTGCTTACAATGGAAGTACTGTTAATGTGATCTCTCCTGTTTCAGAGCACTCCTTGTGCAAACCTATCTTACAGAACAAGACTAAGCCATAGTTGCAGAGCTCTCTGAAAACTGAGCTCAATCCCAAGTGGAGTTTGTGTGCTTCTGCCATTTTATTTGACCTACTGCCTCTCTTCCAAATGAGTGTGCTTTACCTTGAAAATAATTGAAGTGCTGTTTATTCTAACTGCTTAAGCAAAACAAATCTTCAGTACAGGCTATTTTCTTAAATAAGGATTTTATGCAACCAGCTTTAATGCCTGTAATTACATCAAACGCTAGAGTTAAATCAAACTCTTATCGAATTCTGCGCAACCATGTATTCCAGGGAAAAGTCTCTGAAGTTGCACTCAGTACTTGATGCTGTGCTTGGTACTTCATTCACCATTTATGAAATATTCACAGCTAACCTCATGGCTGTCAGCTAACAAGCTTTAGCGTGTTTTACTGACTGGTGAAATCTCTTGCAGTACTTTCTCCTAAATGTACTAGCTCCTTGCCGCAATAGCAAGATGACGAGATTCCCTACTCAAGAGAGAAGCTCCCTGCCAGTCTGTACTGCTGCACAATCACATCATGTCCGGGAGCGTGTGCGGTGCAGGATGGTGCATGTGAAGAGGTGTGGGGTTGAGGCTACCTCAGGTCCTCCATCAGGCAGCTTGCCAGTGGAAACAGGAAACGTTGATACTGAATTATAAATATTTTGCATTTGCTGTTTTGCTAAACCTAACTCCTTGAATATCTGGTATGCAGCCACCAACTTCAGCTCCTCTGAAATGTCTCCCTGACAGCTGCGCACACTCCCTCTGCTCAGATAAGAAAGAATGGGGATGAGAAGACTCTGTAGTTGGCCCGCTGCAATATTGATAAAAATGTTGATCGTCCACACTGAGAACAAAATCATCCTGTTTAGTGCTTCATGCTCCGTGGCATGAAGCAAAATGCACTTCAACTTGAAAAACAAAGAATGGACCAAAAACTAAAATGAATACTATAATAAGAAAAGTCAGGGCCAGCCTTATGTTTCTCTAAGGCCTTTCCTGAGGCATTTTCATTTTCCTGGTTTAGGGTATTGCTATTACCAGCCATTTCGTCTGATCTTCTGCTGGTGGCTGCAGCCTGCAGTCAGGGTGTTCAAACAGAGCAGGCATGTACCTAAGCTGCCCTTCAGAACAAGGCAGTACCTCTGCTTAACCCTCTGCTGCAGCTGTTTCAAACTCAACTCGCACTGCAATAGATACGGAAGCGTTCAAGCAGTCTGTTGCCCTGCCTGGCCTTCAGGCAGCAACTCCTGGAGGGAGAAAGGCATTGCAAGAGCTAATGCTAGGACATCTGCAGCTGGACGTTATCTGCGCAGAGCTCCTCACACCACTGAAGTGCCTTGGATGAAAATTAACTCCCTAAATTAGACTACTGCCTGGTCTAGCTTAGCCCCCATGTAACATATCTGTGCTGGGGGATCAGTAGATTTCACCATGCCTACTACTGAGGCAGACAGATCAGAAAACTTATCCTGCCTTTGACTTTTCTGCTGATTAGACCAGAGAGAAAGTGGAGCCCGAGGGACATTTTCCTTTACTTTAACATCTGTTGCCTCATCCTCAGTATGTGACATTGTGACTGGCAAAACTTCTGGGCCAGGACAGGTTTTGTTTCAGCACAGCATGTCATTAACACAGACCTCCGTCTTCATGACATGGATCTTCCTGACATGAAGAATTTTGCTCCCATTCTAGAGTTAAGAAGTGTCTCCTATGTACATCAGCAAGGTTTACAAGGAAGTGAGCAACGCAACGGTGCTGCAGAAAAGAAGTGGCAGTAACGAATTGTACAATTTAGAAGGACCCAGGAAGACGAGTACTGTTGAGAAGGCTGATTTCTCAACCCAGGAGGTATCTGTGCACAGGCAGCACCCCTTCTGCACATCGATCAAGGGGCACAATTGGGCTCGAAATGAATCC